GAGAAGCAGGCTCCCCGCTGAGCCGGGAGCCCGATGTGGGACTCGATCCCAGGACTCCGGGACCATGACCTGAGCCGAAGGCAGACGCTTAACCGACTGAGCCACCCAGGCGCCCTGATTCTGTAGCTTTGTAGTAAGTGTTGAAATCAGGAAATGTGAGTCCTCTGGTTTTGTTCTTTTTCAAGACTACCTTGGGTATTCAGTGTCCCTTGAGATTCCATCTGAATTTTAGGATGGTTTTTTCTATTTTTGCAAGAAAAATAAAAGTCATTGGGATTTTGATAATCCCAATTTGATAATCCCTTTTGATAAGGATTGCATTAAATCTGCAGATTACTTTGGGCGGTATTGACATTTTCACCATGTTAAGTCTTCCAAGGCATAAACGTGGAATGTCTCTCCATTTACTTAGGTCTTAGTTTCTTTCCGAAGTGTTTTGACCCCTTCTTCTCTCTTCTGCTGCTGCCTGTTTAGCTAGAACCACCACCATTTCTCACCCGGGCTCTTGTGACAGTATCGTACCTGCTCTCTCACTTCTGCTCTTGTCCCTCACAGTTTAAACTCAACATGGAACCCAGGACAAACCTGTTAAGAGGAAGTCAGATCCTGTCATTCCTCTGTGTGGAAGCCTCTCGTAGTTTCTCGTTTCACTCAGAGCAAAAGCCCAAGTGTTTTGATGCCACCTCTTCGAACTGATCTGCTGCTGTCCTTTGTGTTCACTGTGCTCAAGCTATGTGGGGCTTGCTGCTCAGCGACCATGCCGCGTGCCCTCCGCCATGAGGCCTTTGCATATGCCGTTCCCTCGGCCTGTACAGATCTTTTCGTCACTTGGTCCCTCACAGCCTCTAGGTTTCTGCTTCAGTGTCAGCTGCTCAACAAGGCCACCCTTGCCCACCCCATTCAAATTTGCAATCAGCCCCTCCATCACTTTCCATCCCCACCGCATGGCTCTACTTTCCCTCATGGTGTTTATCACCACCAGTCAAGTTACATATTTATATGTGTATTGTGTCTCTTCCCCATGAGAGTATTCATTCCTTAAGAACAGAGACTTAGCCTCCTTGCGTTCACTGCTGAATTCTCAGTGCCTGGCATTGGTATGAGCTCAATACCTTTTTGAATGAATGAATGAATGAGTGAATAGCAGATTGAGAGTCCATGATTAAGAGTAGGATTAAGTTAGCTACTTAGGGAATAGTGAAGAGATGAGTTTGGAAGGTGGTGGTGGGGACCATACATGGCAAGGGGGTGGTAAGGTGTAGGTCTGGATAAGGCGCACATGTGTGTTGGTGTGCACATGTGTGTGGTCCCACGGGAGGCAGAGAAGACTGCCGACAGCCTGGAGAGGCTGGTGAGGGGTCAGATGTTTCATTTTGGCTGATGGAGAGCCCCTGAGGTTCTTCCAGGAAGGAGCTTCAGGCAGGAGACAAGACGTCTGGAGGTGTCACCTGACTGCCATGAGCAGGAGGGACAACAGGGGTGGAGCAGGAAGGCAGGTGACCTGTCAGAGGCAAGAAGGGAGGGGCTCTGGGGTCAAGTGGTCCTACTGTGGCTCCCCTTGTCTGGCCCCTGGCCCTTCATATGTGTGCTTTTGTAACAACACCTTCTATTTGTGCATCAGAACGATTTTTGTACCACCTGGATCTAATCAGGCTGCCCACCACTCAGGGACCCTCGTTGTTTCCCACCGCCCCTTCATTCTTAGTGTGCCCCACACGAGCCTTCAGGATCTGACTCTCCCACTCTCCACCCTTCTCCTGGGGCATGCTGACTCCCTTCTATTCCCTGCCCTTACTGTTCCCTCTGCTTGTAATTCATTCCTGTGCTCAATAAACCATCAGGGGGTGGGGTTCCTCTGTTCTCTAGAAATAGAGCAGTAAGAACAACAGACATGGCCACTGCCTACCTGCTCTTGTTCATCTGAAAACCCCTGCCTCTCCACAAAGGTTGTGTTAATTAGACTCTTATATGCACATGGCAGAAGGTGATGTAAGCACAGAGTGAAGTTGTTGCTTCCTATCATTGAAAACTCCAGGGGTAGACCGTGTGGACTTCAGGCATGGATGGATCCAGGGTCTCTCTCCAGATCTCAGTTCCTTCCTTGGGCGTGTTCCCCCTCCATGGAGACAAGGTGGCTGCTTGCAGCCCCAGAGTCACATCCTATCTCCCCGGCAACCTCAGGAAGTCTCTGTCTCAGCAGTTGGGTGCTGTTACCTGAAGAAGTTGGATTAGGTGTCAGGCAGGCCAAACTAAGAGGGTCCCTACAAAGGTCCAGTTCTAATGGCAGTTCCTGCTCCTTCCTTATCCCAGACAGGGGCCAGGCTTCCCTCCCCTGAGCATCCTGCTAGTTGGGCTCAGGGTCTCTTGTCCTCCTCCCTCCAGATCCCTGTGTCCATGTGTTCCAAGGACTGCCAGCCTGGGCAAAGGAAGAAGCCCGTGGGCATCCATCCCTGCTGCTTCGAGTGTCTTGACTGCCTTCCGGGCACCTTCCTCAACCGAACTGCAGGTAGGACTTGCAGAGCCACTCCCCTGCCCCGCCCTGCCCTGCCCTGCCCTGCCCTGGGCTCTCAGGGCCCTTCATCTTTGGCAGGGTTTCTGGAGTCTCCCCCAGGGACAGTGTCTGATTCCAGTGTATATCCCTAGGAGCTGGTGTAGAGAAAAATCTTCAGTGCACGCTATTAGGGAGGGTGGGAGAAGGAACAGCTCTCAACCAGGCAAGGCTGTCACTGATCCTCACCCCATACACATGTAGCTGAGGGCCCAGGGGTGTCAGACCAGAGAATGTCCACTGGATGGATGAATGAATGAATGAATGTCTCTGTCCATAGAAGAGATGTTTCTGGCAGGTGGGGACAGGATCTGATTTATCTCTCTGACCTCCCAGTGCCTAGTGTAGTTCAGAGCATATAATGTTTGCTCAGTGAATATTTATTAAATGACATCCTTGGTTAGACGAATCAATATCTCCCCCTATAGATTATAAACTCCAGGAAGGTGGGGACAATGTCCTCTCTCTGTCCATATTAGTGTTGAGCATGGTTCACAGTTGGGGCTCAAATTAGTTTTTTTATGACTTCCCTGATTAGTAAATTAAGTGGACATAGACATCTACCAATCAGTAGATTGGTACTTACATAGTACTTACTATGTGCCCAGCAGAGCCCAGGGCACAGAGTAGGTGCTCAACAAAAGTTTGTTGAATGATTTCACAGGCTTTTCCTCTCCTGGTTGGTCAGTAGCCTGAAGGCAGGGGCTAGGTTTTATCCATGTCTGTGGTCTCCCACCTCAGATGCCCACCACCGTGGAGGATGCTCGAAAAAGCATTTGTTGAATGAATTCTTTGATTAAATGCTTGAATGTCTATCCCACCAGAGGGTAAGGTCTTGGAAGGAAGGGATTACCATTGTTAGGATCTGGGTCAAGGAAACCTCGGTTCAAATCTTGCCTCTGTAACTTACTGGTTTTGTGACTGCCTGGCTGAGCCTCAGACCTTTGTAGGGACCCTCTTAGTTTGGCCAGCCTGACACCTAATCTGACTTCTTCAGGTAACAGCACCCAACTGTTGACTTCCTGAGGTTACCTGGCAGATACGATGTGACTCTGGGGCTGCGAGCAGCCAGCCTGAGCATCGGGTTGCAGTGAGGAGCTGATGGGCTGATGGATGTAAGGGACGCAGCGAGGGGCAGCTAGGACTGTAGGCGTTTACCTTCAGCTCCGCGCCCCAGCCCCCGGGGCCTGGCCCGGGGCAGGTGCAGAGGATGTGGGTGCCAGCAAGGCAGGTGTGGCTGACGGGAGATGCTGTGGGCTCTTGCAGACGAATTCAACTGTCAGTCCTGCCCAAGTTAAGAGTGGTCCCATAGGAATGACACCTCCTGCTTCAAGCGGCGGCTGGCTTTCCCTGAATGGCACGAGGCGTCCACCATCATCGTGGCCATGCTGTCCGTCCTGGGCTTCCTCAGCACCCTGGCCATCATGGTGATCTTTTGGAGGCACCTGCATACGCCCATGGTTCGCTCGGCGGGGGGCCCCATGTGCTTCCTGATGCTGATGCTGTTGCTGCTCGCATATACCATGGTCCCCATGTACATAGGGCAGCCCACGTTCTTCACGTGCTTCTGCCGCCAGACCTTCTTCACCCTCTGCTTCACCATCTGCATCTCCTGCATCACCGTGCGCTCTTTCCAGATCGTCTGGATCTTCAAGATGGCCAGGTGCCTACGGCTACTGGGTGCGCTACCATGGGCCCTATGTCTTCGTGGCGTCCTTCACCGTGCTCAAGGTGGTCATCGTGGTGGGCAATGTGCTGGCCATGAGCACCAACCCTACCGCCCGCGCTGACCCCGATGACCCCAAGATCATGGTTCTGTCCTGCAACTACCTCAAGGCACTGCTGTTCAACACCAGCCTGGGCCTGCTCCTGTCCGTGGCGGGCTTCAGCTTCGCCTACATGGGCAAGGAGCTGCCCACCAACTACAACGAGGCCAAGTTCATCACTTTCTGCATGACCTTCTACTTCACCTCCTCCATCTCCCTCTGCACCTTCATGTCTGTCTACGAGGGGGTCCTGGTCACCATCATGGACCTCTTGGTCACTGTGCTCAACCTTCTGGGCATCAGCCTGGGCTACTTTGGTCCCAAATGCTACATGGTCCTCTTCTATCTGGAGCACAACACACTCAGCAGCATGATTCAGGGCTACACCATGGGGAAGGACTAGCACCGTCCACTGGCTGCCCAGGGGGCTGGAAGGCTCCGCCCTGGGGGATGGAGACGGGGGCGGGGGGCTTGCTTATTCAGCCCCAGCTGGGCAAAGGGATGCTATCCCTGACTGTTATTGCCTCACCCTGCTCTGATTTGGTCTCCCCCCCAGTTTCTTTGCATCCTGGCCATGTTTACCCCCCTGGTGGCGGATGCCTAAAAATATTCACACGTTCCCTATAGCTGTTTGGCTTGCCAGGCACTGCCACCCATTCTAGGAAAACCATCCAGGGTGACCTGTTGGTCTCCAAGGCAGAGATGGATTTAAGCAGCCGACAGTCGCCATCTGGTGGCCACAGTTGGTTTGTCTGCAGGTTCGGGCTCCTTCCCTTCAGTCCTGTTCACTGGGTGAGGGGAGGCCGCGCTGGTGTGCGGGGATGTCTGCCCGGGGTCAGTCACTAGCTGCCCACGGGTCCGTGCCTCACCTCCCAGACTCCCCCAGAGCTTGCGACCCAGCGTCTCTGAGTAACGGCTGGGCATTGGGGCTGCTTCATAAATGCATGGGAATAAACCTCACCTGGGTGAAGTGAATGAGTTTCCTTCTTGTTTCCAGAGGTCCTCGGAGAAAGAAAATTTCAATCGGTGACCTCAGTTTCTCTCCCAGCACTGCCGCTTCTGATCTGTGTACTTGGGGCCAATTATTTACTCTTTCTGAGCCTCCGCTTCCTTGTCTCTACAATAGGAACAATAGCTGCTTCGCTGGGACACTGAAGGATCAGAGAGAATGGGTGTGGGGTGCATACAGTGGGTACTCAATAAATGCCCACCACTGCAAATCCACATGTCCCTTGAACCATCAGCGTCAAAAGAAGGCTGTGTTTCCTTTTTACGCCCCAATGTCCATGGTACACATTCTAGTCGATGGGGTATTGCCTCTGTTGGAAACTAACTTGGCCCCCAGGAAATTCTGGGTGTTGTCTGGGGGTGCTTGGGCCTCATGTGTGTGGCCATCCCGGCACCGCGGAAGCTCAGAGACGGGGCTGTTCTGCGTGAGGCTGTGCCTATGCCCATCACCCTCGATGGCAGGAGGGGCCCCCACCCTTCTGTCCGGGGGTCACACCTGGCCTCTCAGAGCTCCGTGGGGAGCCAGAATTTCAGTGCTGAGGCCTCTGAACTGCTGCCCAGAGAGGCTGAGTGACCGGCTCCGGGGCGGCCAGGTGGAAGGTGGGGGCAGGAGCGTCAGAGGCTCAGGCTCCCTGATGACCCAGTTACTGGGGTGACCTTGTGACTGTCTCAGAACCCCCCTGGGAACGGTTTCTAGATTGGCCCCACACCATCCCTGGCAGGAGCAACTTCCCAAAGCTCATTTGCAGCAGGGAGGGAGGGCAGGACTATCTCCTTCTTGTCCTGGACTTACCCCTCTCACGCTTCAAGGAGGTGGGTGGTGGGATCTTGGTTTGAATCACCTGCAGTTTGGGAGAACTGCCTTCACGTTTGGGGGCTGCTTCTTCATCACGGCGGGGATGGTCCCTGTTTCTCTTGCCTGAGCTGACCCAGAGCAGATGCTGCACGAATATTGACAGAGCAGCTAAGTCACTCTGCTCCCCCCACCCCCGTCCGCTTCCTTGAGCCACAGCATCTTTAATTCTGTGCTTGTCTCGTGGCCTTTGGTGCCGGATCCTGAGCGGCATCGAGAAATAGAAAACAAACCCTTGTGCTCACCATTGACGAGAACAGCAGCGAACATGAATTACTCTCCCTGTGGGCTTTGCTACATCATTCACTATTTCCTCACCAAACTCCATCAGTCCCATACTGTTAGGGTCCTTGTTTTACAGATGGGGAAAGAAGGGCCCTCCCAGAGGTCATGAGCCTTCCCCAGCCCCTCCCAGCCCGTCCCCGGAGCCACGACCCTCTGTGGAGTAGGACCCAGACGTCCTGCCTGGGGAGCTGGTGTGGGGGGAGCCGTGATCGCAGTTCGGGGGGACGCAGTCTCTCCAGCAGGTGCTGTGGTGTGCTGGGGGACCTCAGATTTTAGGGAGACGGCTGGAGGATGCGGTGCCTGGGGAAAACCCTGGGGGAAGCTGGCATCTGGAGAGAGCAATGAAGGGCAGAGAAGTGCCTGGAAGGCAGGGAGTCTGAGTGTGGGGTTAGTGGGTGGGGACAGCAGGGGCCAAGGTGGGGTGCCAGGAGGCCCGGGCAGCCTGAGTAAGAGCACGGGGCTGAGGGTGGCCGGTGTGAGAACCGGGCTTGGAAGGCTAGCTGGGGCTAGACGTGGGGGACCCTGACCGGGGGTCTGAGCTTGTCCTCCTGGTGCCCACCGCCAGCATCCGTGTGCATGCTGGCTTGTCCAGTCCTGGGTCCCCCGAGGGGCTGTTCCTGGCTGTCCCTCGCCTCTGTCCTCTTGCCACAATCCTGAGCCCTGGCCTGGCCCGACGGCGGGAGACCGTGGGGGAAGACCCCAAGGATGGACTGCTGTGTGTGCGCATCCCTCCTCCATCCCCTGCTCTTGGGTCCCAGGGGGAGACCTCACCCCAGCCCTGAGCTTCCAGCGAGCAGCTCTGCCGTCTGTTCCTGGATGTGTCTGTGCCCTGTCCCCCTCGCCCTCGGGACCAGATTGGCAGGCTCAGGGAGTTTTAAGCTCTTAATTCTCTTTTCTTGCATGCTTCTGACGCCTTGGCTTAAAATTTTTTTTAAGAGATAATGACCTCCTTTTCCTGGTTCTGCCTCCCGGACCGCCATCAGAGAGAGAATCCTGGAATCCCACTGACCTCAGAGGCATCTACTCCACACCTCCCTCTACAGCTGCCCCGAGCTGAGAGCCTCATCCTTCTTGTTCCCCTCCAGTGATGGGAGGCTCACGGAGGACGCCAGTGAAATTTTTCTTAGATTGAATCAAACCTGACTCTTTGGGATTTCTATTTACGGACCTTAGTTTCATCTTTTGGGGACCACAGATTCAATCTCATTCCTCTTTCTCATGATGGTCTTTTGTATGTAGTGGCAACAAGTATAATTGCCTCTCGAGGGGTGCTGACCCTGTGACCGGTGCCTCACACCTGCGAGCTGTAATCCCCACGACGCCCCTGCCCGATGGGTACCTGTGACCATCCGTGGCCACGTGCTGATGCCTGCCAGCATCCTCTTCTCTCCCGCCCTACCTGGCAGCCCCTGTTCTCCCAGGAGAGATCTATGTTCTTCTGGGGAAGCTGACTCTGTCCTGGCTCCAGGGGGCGGAGCAGGTGACCCAGGCCGAGGGTTGGTCTAATCAGAGGGACTCTCAGGACGTTTCTTGGGACAGGGATTCTTTCTGTAGGAACTAGTAAGGCTGAGACTCGGCAACTCCTGTGGGACCACAGGGCAAGTCAGCCTTAGAGGGAAGCTGGACTTTGCAGAAGATAAAGTGGGAGGATGGAAAAACGGGGTCCTTGGAAACTTTTGAGCTGACGGATCCAGCTTGAAGGCAGCGCCCCCTCTGAAATCTTCTTGAGTCCATTCATGTGCTTTACTGTTTACGGTAGTTGGAGTTGTGTGCTCTGCGCCTGGCAACCCAACACATCTTTATCCTGCTGAAGAGGAAACTGAAGCTCAGAGAGGCTGATTAATTTGCTCAGGGTCACCCAGCTTGTAAGTCAGGGAGCTGGGATTTGGAGAATTGGGGGGTATTGTACTGTGTTTTCAGATCATCTCTTTTTGGTCTAAAGGTCATCAGTTGCTCTTCGGACCCGATTTTGAGCGCCGTCCTAGTCCTCTCCTTTGGGCACATGCTGACCTGTAAACATCTCTCTTAGAGCATCTCTCGAGCCTCCCTCTCCTGGGCCCCTGACATCCTTCCCACACCAGTCCAGCTGAGTGATGTCCCCTTAGCCCTGTCCCGGTCACAAGCTTTCCCAGCTCGGACCCCTTCCATGGTTCCCCGGTGCCTACATGACACCGCCCGGCCTCCTTCCTGTACCAGTCAGGTGCTTTGAAATCTGGCTCCCGCTCACCTCTCCAGCCTCACCTCCCAGTGGCTCCGGAGGGCTCCTGGCTCTTCCCCAAACACTGGCCTGGCTTTACACCTATGCTCAAGCTCTCCCTTCTCTCTTCTCCCTGCTGGCCTTAACCTTGATCCCTTAAGGCCCAGTTTAAGTGCTTCCTCCCCAAGGAAGGCTTCCCTGCCTTGGGGCAGAGGAAATCTTTGGTACTCCCTGAGCTGCTTGAGTTCAACTTCCGCTGGTCCTGCTGACGTACCTTTCTGGTTTGGGACCACCTGAGTCAAGGGACACGCTGTTCTCTGTGTGGCCTTTGTCTCAGCTGTCATGTCCCCTCCGATGCATTTGCTGCTTGAGGCGCTGGGCGCTTGTTGGCTGGGCAGGGAAACACCGGGGCCTTTTGCAGGGCACCGAGCTGGTGGGAGCTGGTGGGAGCTGGTGGGAGCTGGTGGGAGCTGGCTGCAGTCTGGGGCTTGGGGGCCGGGCCAGGACAAGTGTGCTCTTCCCTGGTGGCTGGGCTGCAGGGAGAAGGGAGAGGGTGACAGGGAAGGCAAAAAGCTGGAGCTGGGCCTCCCAGGCAAGGACAGGTCTGTAGCGGACTTGATAGCCCCTCCACCGCTCAGACCAGAAACTTCAGTCTCGCCTGACTACCTTCAGAAGAGACCCCAGCCCTGGGGTAAGCCTCGGTTCCAGCAACAGCCTCCTAGCTGCTCTCCCTGCTTCTGCCCTGGTCCCCACAATGTGCAGGCTGTTCCTTGTACAACCTAGGTCACTTCCTATACCTCCTCTGCCCAGTGGGGCTCCCCATCTCTCTTAGATGAAGAGCCATGGTCCTTGTGCTGGCATCAGACCCACGGGGCTCCCCGCCACCTCTCCCACCTTGCTGTGGACACCCCTCCCTCTACACCTCTGCAGCCATGTTGGCCTCCTCACCATCCCCAGACGTGCCATGTGTATGCCTCAGGGCCTTTGCACTGGCTGCTCCTTCTTCATGAAATGCTCCTCCTCAGATTGTCACGCGGCTGGTTCCTTCATTTATTTTCTC